GGAGATGGTTAAATCACTGTTCTGCACTAAACTGTCASGTACAGAGGCACAGAGCAAATACAACAGGAATCATCAAAATACTGAAGTAAAACAGGACAGTAAAACCCAGCGGTRTAAAACTAACTTAAACATGTTATTTCCTTTAACATGTCCCACACAGTTATATGTGGGAGCAGTACAGTCATCTGCATGTGTAAACTTTTTTTCCTTGGTAAAATAACCAAAGGTACTTTACTAAGGAGGAAAACTGTTTTCCATAAGGAGCAATCTCAACGGGATAATCATACTGCTAGCTGTGTTTTTGGCAGTAAGAATATACTTTCTTTTAAAAACTATTGAGTAGCAGCAAGAAAATACCATGCACAAGAAGCCCTTGTTCATATAACATCTAATTAAGTTGTGCAACCCACTAACACAGGATGTTGTGAAGGCCAGAAGAATAAATGGGTTTAAAAGAAATTAGGCAATTCATGGAAGATTGATCCATCAGCRTTTAATTAAACATGATGAATGATGAATTAAACACCTCAGAAAGCCCCTAGATCACTGACTGCCAGGCACGATGCTCAAGGGGCTGAATGCAATATGCTGGAGCTGGATATATCTCTTAACAGTATCAACAAGCCCTTATCAGAGATAGGATGTCAAGGAAGTGTTTTGTAGGAAACCATTCTCATTTGCTCTTATTTGTGTATCAGGCAAGACTGCTACTGAAGTATTTAGAAGAACAAACCACTCAACACTAGACTCGCTTCAGGGCTCTGCGGAAGTATTAGTTTTCTACTACTGTTAAATAGTRCAGGGATTGTTCAGGGAAAGGGCAACGTCCTGGAACAGCAGCACGTGGGAAGCTCTCAATAAGGGTCCACACAAACMCCGGGCATCAAGACCTTGAAACACTGAAGCAGCATGCTGAGAAATGGCTGGGAGGAACCAGGGAACTTCACTGCTTTCAGAGCATATTATGTTAACAAAAATATTTTTTTTTTACTTTAAAAATAAATATAAAGGCTATTTTTTTTTTGACTCATGCACTAGTGTTTTGTTTCACCATTTAACAGGAGGTTGTCTGTGGCCAAAAGCTCCACTTCCTCTTTGCCCAACAGCCCTGTCTCAAACTGCAGACCTTCACATCCCTGCAAGTCAGGGTTACCAGATGCTGCAGGTGTAACGTCCTCCTCTCACTAAATGCAAGAACTGCACCGGATTCTACAGGAAAAGCCCTGTAGGCAAGGCTGAGAACAAACGGGAGACTGTCGCTTTCAGGACTTTGACAGGGGACCCGTTCACATGTTGGCATCAAAATCCACACTCAATCTTGCCCACGCCTGTGGTTATACGTTAGCAGGTTTATATCTGCTTTTATAGACTACGGGACAAATAACGGTTTTAAGCAGTGCTTGTCAGATGAGATTTGGCTATTTGCACCTCCAATATCAGGCATCCTCYGTTGCATGAAATGGGAGCCACCCTGGTTCTCCAGACGCAAAGCTTGCTTTCCCCAACAGACGGTGGCCGAATTTTATTGCAGCCTCTCAGTGACGGTGCCGAGATGCTAGAGCAGCATTGCCCGTCTCGAGCACAACAGTCACAAACGCTCAGCGAGGCCRCCAAGGGTGAGTTCAGCCCTCAGCCCCATCGCAGGGCGCCCTGGGGAAGGCCCCTGCTGCGAACGCTCTGCGGTCGCTCACCCCGAATCCAGCGCAGCCGTTCTGCCCGCTGCACCCGCAGCAGCGTTTGCTTTGGGGTCACCTGTAGGGGCTATAATGACATAGCAAGGCCTGAGTCAAAAACTAAAATTCAATTATTAGCTTAAGATGACCTTCTCCATTGAAGCACTGATTGCCACGCATTCACTTCCAAACTGTTTCACTATTTGCATATTTGGCTGTTTGCAGAAAAGGAATAATTTAAAAAACCTCTTGAAAACATGCACATATTTAATGTTTGTAGTTGAGGTGGCTGATTTAAGTAAATGGAACAGAAACGTACTTCARTAGACTGTTTTACAATGACTGCGTTAGCAATAGGTTGAATAAATTCGCCCTGGTGTCTCACACTGTCAGCTGAAACACTATTTTAGGGAAAAGGCATTGCCCATAAAGCGGAGCATTCTGGGCCGAGCTCTCCCATTCTCCATCGCAGCACGTGGAGGACAAAACAGGACATCTATGGCACTGAGCAGCGTCAAAACCCGGCAGTCATCAATCCCCTCCCTGAATCCAGAGCGGTAATCATGAAATGCTCAGACCATAAACTACGAACGTTAACCAAAGCTTGGGTGCCAGCAATCTTAATACCACCACTGGTATGCTGTTAAATGGCAACATTAAATACACATTAAAAAGTGCATGAAAAGAAAAATAAACATAAGGGACCCCTAAGTCAGGCTCATCCAACCATTCCAAGTTCTCTGTTGCAAAGGAAATGAAGGAAAATAGGCTAAATGTGCCAGAGAACAACTGGGCAAGCCCTGGAGAACCCTCTTGTTTCATCAACTCCTGAGAGATGCAGCTCCATTCCCAGAGAACTGCTGCATTTTTGTAAGACTTTTCAATTCCATCTCTACTCCAAAGGGATGAACAGTGTCTGGCAACCGCCCCATGGCCACGCTTTGATGYTAGGAAGTGTGCAAGCCACAAAGCGCAGCTCTAAACTGTCCTCCTTTTCTGTCCAAACACTGTAGTTCAGTTTGTGGGACAGAAATTAAGCAGTCCTGCTTCTTTAAGTCTCCCGCTCTCATTCCTGCTATGACTAATGAAACTGGATACAAAATGCATTTTCCTGTCACTCCCTAAAGGTTAGGAAATACTGCCCAAGCAATTTCGGTCTGATAAAACTACAGCAGGTTCAAAGTTAGAAGAAGGTTCAGTTTTTCCCCCTGCAAAACTGTATCACATTTCAATCACAAAAACAGAGGCGTGCTCCAGTGTGGCTGCAAGCTGAGGTGGAAAGGAAGCTCTGAAGACCTGCACTCGCCCAGATCCCCTGTGATATTAGCAGATCTAGTCAAGATAAAATCTAGCAGGAAAAATACATTGAAGTCAGATGAAAGGAAAAAGTTTTAAATTACCATTCTTTCCAAATAAAAGGGGAAAATGAGTCACATCGGCCTCTATCTACCATACCAGCCATGTTAGGAGTTAATTGGAAATGATTGTTTACTATGTGGCCATTTATTTGCCTCATTAATAGGCACTGACTTAATTTGGAAAGCCTTTTTGGTGCCATTCTGTAATTAATATTTTTCTAAGACATCTATGATGTGCCTTTGCATAAAAGACATTTGCCTAATTTTCTTCCTTTTAAACACAGCTATTTACTTTCTTTTATGAAATAACCTTTTCTCTGCTTACTGTGGAAATACTAGCATGCATTTCAACCAAAAATAGCTGAAAAGTAAGACACGGGAACAGATTATTTTCCCTTCTGATTTTCTACCTCTCAATTCCAATTGGAGCAATGGGACTTGACAGCTCTGAGTTCAAACTTAATTCATCATTAGGAAATTATTCAAAAAGCTATAATGAGATAACTAATTTAATACACTTTGCTTTAAGGTTTATTCCTTGGCTTGTTTCCCAGATATAAAGCATTTCTGTGCAATTATCATGCAGATGCTGCTGAAAAGACTTTAAATGGTTGCTGCTAATTTAACAAGAGATATGTTGGCATGGGCAGAAGAAATTAGAGACAAAACTGAAGCTGACTGAAAACTCAGGTGATCCTTAAAAAGAGCATGGTCAAGACATCATAGCTATATAACTCATAAACACTCGCTGGTAGCTAGCAGTTTCCACGAGATTTCTTCTTGTATCATTAGGCCTGTACTGCATGGTGCCAAGCAAAACCACAGTGGAGTCTTAAAGGCATTTTGAGAAGCATTCAAGTATTGAAAGGGAGATTAAACTCAGATTTTAGGGAAAGGGAGATGTATAGGTCCCTTTAGTGATTCTACTGAAKCTGAGGTTGCGTGTAGGCCACAGGCCTTTATGCATTGACACACATTTAGAACAACAATCTTGAATTTTGCTGCCAAAGARGAAGGGACTTTCAGAAAAGCAGCAGCAGAAATAAGCACAGTATTTCTGATTCTCTTAAACAACAACTGCCTTGCAGACTTGCTGGATTATGATCTGCGTTTTCATAGTAGGTAGACAGAAAACTAGGAAGATACCAAACCAGGAGTGGCTGATAAACCAACCAGATGGTTGTGCTGCTATTCAGAAAGACCTTCCCGAGCTGGAGAAATGAGCAGAGGCAAAAAGGGGACGTGCCAAGTACTGCTCTCTGGGAGGATTTATCCCATACACAGCAGGACAGGCTGGGGTCCAGCTGGAGAGCTGCAGTGAAGGACCTGGGAGTCCTGGTGGACAAGYTGCCCATGAACCAGCAATTGTGGCCAAGAAGGGCCGTGGTATCCTGGGCTGTGTTTGGCAAAGCATTGCCAGCAGGTCAAGAGAGCTCAGCCCTGGTGAGGACGTATCCAGTCTACAGGGTCCAGTTCCGGGCTTCACAGTTCAAGAGAGACACAGAGCTACAGGAGGAAGACCAGCAAATGGCCACTAAGATTATTAAGATTATTACTGAAGCATCTGCCATATGGGAAAAGGCTGAGAGAGCTGGAGCTGTTTAGCTTGGAGAAGAGAAGGCTCAGGGGATCTGATAAAYGYRTATAAATAACTGAGGGGACACTCTAAAGAAGCCAGAGCCAGATGCTTCTCAGTGGTGCCCAGGGACAGGACAAGAGGCAAAATACAAGAGATTCCATCTGAACAGAAGAAAACATTTCATTGTGAAGGTAGTTAAACATTGGAACAGGTTGTCCAGAGAGGCTGTGGAGTCTCCATCCTTGGAAATATTCAAAAGCTGACAGRACGCAGTGTCCAGATAAYGTGCTGTAGGTGACCCTGCTTGGGCAGGGGTGTTGGACTAGGTGATCTCCAGAAGTCTCTTCCAGCCCCAACAATTCTGTGATCTTATGACTTTTGGGGGACTTCTGGCCCACAGACTCTAGTAATATGTTATCTGACCTATCCCATCTGCTACTGCTGAAGCTTTYCATTGAAGAAAGGCCAATGCCTGCACTTCCCTCAGTGCCATGGCATAGCAGCTGTATGCTCAAAATAAACAAACAATCCCATCCAGCAGAGAAACACAGTGGGAAACTGGGAGGCAGAAAAAAAAAAAACACAGGAGATCAGACTGTTTATCTGCCAAGGCTGTGGAGATAGTATAAAGCACCAGCTAGTAGGGTGATGATGGGGATGCAAGTCAGAAGGAGGACAAAACACTTAGGAATTGGCAGAGATCCCCTAAAAGGAGAGAGGGGACAGCTGGGGGGGCCCAGCTGCCAGAGAAGAAGGGCTCAGAGATGAGGATGGCCAGGGTTAGCAGGTAGGCATGCCAAGCAAAAGCAACGAGGGGCTAAAAGATTAAACCAAAGAATCTGAAAAATAACTTCACCACAACGATGGCTAAGCCTTGCTACAAGGGGCCTGGTAAGGGCCTTTGGAGATTTTTAAAACTCAACTGGACGTGKCCTTGGGTGCCCGATCCACCTTTGAAGTTGGTGCAGCTGCGAGCAGCGCTGGGACAGAGTCCTCCAGGGCTCCTTTCCATTCTGGCCTGTTCTCCATTGAACCTTCAGGACCAACAAGTCCAGGCAAGTGCAGCCAAGAGCAGGACTGGTGGCAGGAAGATGGCAGCTTAAGGGGATGAGGAACAGCAGAAAACGCCTCTGCCCTTCAATCCACACTTACAGGGAGGACTCACTGACGGACCTCGTCTCACTCTGTGCTGTTTTTCCAGCACTTCATCTCTTAAGAATCCCTCCAAAGGCTGGTAAAGACCTCATTTTAAAGATCCASTATTGCTTCTTTCAAGGACTAAACTGCAACTGTAATTCCTGTGAAATTTGAACAGTTTTAGCACCCCGAGTCCTCTGCTCTCAGAACTGCCTGTGTTAGAGCCCTCTGTAACTCTCCCTGCTGCGTGTGCAGACACAGGTATCTGCTGGTGTCTGCTGCGTGTGCAGACACAGGTCTCTACCTCAGGATTCTGCATCCTCAGACTCCTCTCCTGCACAACCCTTGATGACATGTAGTGGGTCTCATTTTTACCTTGGAAGCCACACATTTGACTCCACAATATTCTTATCTGAGAAGGAAGTCTACTGCCAAAAACTGTTTAACTCATAAACCACGTAGCAAGCTAAAAGCTGGTACACTGCACCTTTAGAGAAGATTGCTTTTCCCTATGAACATGTTACACTGCAGATCAGTCATGTCAAATGTGGTTCAATTCAAAGGTTACTGTAAGTTTCACAAGTTAAAGTAATTCACAAATTATTCCAAGAAAAATAAATTATATCTTGTATAAAATAATCCATGTGAGACTCTAGTAAAGAATAATCATTGCTTACGTTCAAGACAACTTGAGTAAGTACAATATATGCACACAATGTTATCAAGGCAGTTCCTCTCTTATCAGCAAGGTTCAGTCAAATCCAGAAACCTACGTTTGGGATCTTCAAAGAGATTAAATAAGTCTGGAGTTCTGCAGGAACTGGATGAGCACTTGATAGACAAATTTGTACTGGGCTATGGTCTGGATCATAAACATTCTCTGCTCCCGTAGGTGTCTCAGCATCACTGGCACATCCACTTTCTGTAAAGTGAGGGCAAAAAAAGACATAAGGAGGTAGATTCATTAAATCCAGAAAGCACCACTTCACCTGATTTAAAGACAAGAATATAGTTAGCACAAGGAATTGTACTATAGTTAAATAATGTAATGCATTATAACCAACCGTAGTGAAATACCACATTTTTTTTCCCCAGAAACTTTATACATAACTTCAATGAGTAAAATGGTATTACATATAAATGTAATCCTTTTCCTAGGGAAACAGAAATTTCTGAACCAACCTAAATGGGCAAATAACTAYGTGATCACTCATACTACATATTACATGTATGAGCAACACTCATTCTATCAAGTAACACAAACTGCACCTTGTAATGCCAGTTTGCCATGCTAGAGACACACAAGGGAACCCAGCAAGTCTTTTTGTCTAGGGTGAGAAACGGTACATGGACAATGCACGGACTAAACAACAGCAAAATAATGTAGGACTGCTGGGGAGTTGATTTTCAAGCCCAGTGTAAAATTTTTGTAAAGTTTAAATAYAGAAATCACACTGCATATCCATTTCTGTACATTTTTAAAAAATTAAGAATCTCGTTCTGTGCAAACAAGCCCAAGCYGAAGTACTATCGATTTCTGGAAACCCAGCTAAATATTCCACTACATCCCCAAACAAGCCACTGCGAAAGGACAGTTCTAGAGAGTCAACAAGCATAAGGCCGCGTAAGCTGCGATGAGTAAATGGTGTATTATTTTCAAAGGGGTGCAGGGGAAAGCATAAGCTCTGATTTTCAGCTGGTTCAGCTAACCCAGAGAATGCCTCGCTGGGCAATCTGGTGAGTACGAAAGGCGCCTGCTTCTCACCAAGCAAAGTCAYGCAGAACTCGATGGCACCTGAGCAGCTGCAAGAAAAATGCAGGCCAGCTTCCACCTGAGCAGCCCCGCTCCTGTCCCAGCGGTTCAGCACGTGACAACCTGTTGATTTTTTACCAGGCCTGTAGTAGCACATGCTAAACACCGGCTACCTGCACCTTTTCCTAATGGAGATGGCTTTGATTTATCTCAGAAAGGAAACAGAAGCTCCTCTTGCTTGGGACCTTCCTATTTGTGTTCAATCTTAACAAGCATTTAACCCCATAAAAGCAGAATATTGACATTCAGATTCATTACAATACAGGCCCATGAAAGAGAAGTAGTATTTTGCTAAGGTGACAACTGCAAGAAGAAAGTATAAAAGCGTTACTTAATTTTACATCTATACTATGTAGATGTAAAGAAGATGTCCGTATGAATGCATGAAGATGTCTGTAACTGCAATCAATTCACGTCCCAGTGCCAAGTCAGAACTAAAAGTCGATAGAGCCTCAGTTAATTTGTTGCTGTACATGTTTACAGCAATAAGGATGCAATGATGTGACATATTACTTGCTATATATAGCAAGCAACTGAAAAAGTATTCCTGCAATGAGATCTAAAAGGTTTAGATTCAACCATCAAGTGCTCAGAAGCCACAGTAACTAAAGTTATAACAAGTTGATTAAAACTGGTTTTCCTAAACCTGAAATCCTCAAAATCAAGAGATTTGCTTCTAGTTCCAGCACCGCTTCAGACTTGATCTGATCTGTGTCAGAATTTTTAATCTTATTCCCTTTTCTTCTTCAATAATATGTTAATCTTAATACATTTATTTACTACAAGTCTTTTGAGAAAATGAGCTTACTTGTAAGCATTTTAAATAATAAGCAATTTTATTTAAAGAAAAAAGGCAACAAGAAGTAACCTCACTTCAAAACAAACCGGTAAAACTGCTGCATGAAAAAGAATCCTCTGTGCACAGCGCAATATCTGTCACAAGCTGAAAACTTAACTTGTAATGAAATGTTAGGCCTTATTTTTATTTTTTAATTTGGTTTTAACAAACTAAAAATAATAACTTAGTACAATCTTGAGCAACAAGGCCCTTCAGGGAAGTTGTTTATAATATTAATAATGATTTCCACAATAAACAAGTGGAAAGTATTWATGCTTTAATTAAGAAACATCAGAAAAGTCCCTTATTAGGGAGCACTACCATCAGCTCCTAGTGACGTTGATGAGATTTCCTCTGAACGCTCAGGCCCGCTCCCATGCCAAAATGTCTGGGTTCCTCCTTTATCTTCGGTTGCTACTCGTCTATTTTTGGTGCAATGGGTGCCTGCTGTAACCGCAGACAAGCTGAGGTGGCCRCAGAGCTGCACAACTATTGGTGTCTGCTGCTGGCACACCACGAGCATACCGAGGTTGCTACAAAGCAGACACAGGTAAACATTACTCGCAAGTGTTTTAAGTAGGGACCTTACAACCACCCAGATTTCTTCTGGAGTGCAGCAATTTCACRGCTGCCGCGTGAACAGCAGTATCATCTGTTTCCAGGTGCCTGCACATATGGAAAGAGTCAGGCTCAAGAGTCAGACCCATTCCTCTTGTAGGAGCGGTCACTAAATGCTCAGCTGATATGTGATGGCTGTAGCGCTGCCAAACCTTACATGTAGGTGTCCTCGACACCTTCTTGTCCTCCATAAAAGGAATCATGGGAAAAGGAAAATGAAAGTTAAAAAAGAAGAAATAAGAGCATGAAAAAGTAAGAAACCACGCTTAAGCTGTGAAAAAGCGATCCAGGTGAGCCCTAGCAAAGCTCAACCAAAGTTTGAGGAGGTTCATCRTGCTCAAAGAGGCCCAGTAGTAGTAGAGATGACTTGCAACTACAACATAGTGCTTTTTTGTGGCACAGATTGATCTTGCATCTAATATTTCTCACCTCGCAAAGAACAACAATAAAACTGGAGGGGGATAAGAGAGAAGACCAACATGAAGCTCTGTATTTCTGTTCATGAAAAGCAAAGCTGACTGGTTCATGTCTCCTTTAGGACTCACAGCGTTGAATGAGCAAGCAAGTTGCCCTTCATATAGCACCTTGCACAGCAAGGCCCCAGTCCATAACTTAACAGTAATGCACAAAGTAAGTCAGCATTTCTGCTCCTTCAGGTATGTACATCCAGTGATCCCTGCACTGTGTCCCATCCAACAGATGAGTAATCACTGGGAGGGACAGACAGCACATATCTATTTGTGTCTCTTGCTACATTCTTACCTCTGAAAGAGGTTTTCCACTTTGAACAGAAACCCCTTGGGGTCAATGGTTGTTTTGCCCAGGTTGGAGGTGCGTGGGCACTGCTACTGCAGGTGGGTGTTTTATCTGCCCAGTTCCCCAGCAAGAGGACACGAACAGAAAGCAGGCAGCTACACAGGGTTGCTCTGCCAATGCTGCTCCTCTTAACACTGCTCCAGACAGCACAGCTAAGCTTGTAATACTGGCTGCCACTCTTCAGAGCACAGGCACACACTGCTTTTAAAACCCACAGCTGAGTTTTGTTCCAAATGAGATTCAAGAGACAGTATGAGAGAGGAAGGAGACTACACAGTGAATTTAGAGAATAGGAAACATTAGTTAAAAGATCTTAGAAGTAGGCTTTTTTTTTTTTTTAAGTTTCTTTCAAGATGTCCTTGTGGACATGCTGTCTCTAGGCTGTTAATTAAACACCCATATAAATTASAGCAAATCTCAAAAGAGAGAAAGTAGTCCTAATTTTGAATGCATTAAAATAATATTAATAAAAATGCATAAAAATCAACCCAATGGCAACCTGCAAAAAGTAACTTGCCATGGGAAATCTCTGTCTGTTGCACTTAAGCCGCCTTTTTAACAAAACCAACAGAAACCAGGCATTTCAATACCTTTTAATTTTAAATTCAGCAGCAGAGCTAGCTGGCTAAGCAACGAAGTCAGGGTTGGTCCTGAGGAGGGAGAAGCTCACTCACCTCGTTATGCTCCAAGCACCCGATCATGAGCTCTGTCAGGATAACCACGCCGGTCCTCCCGACCCCCGCGCTGCAGTGAACCACGATGGGAGGGTTGCAGTTGTTGCTGCTGTCCAGCACACTGTTGGTATGGCGACGCACCGACTGTATCTCCTCCAAGTAAACTGCAACATAAATCACAGTCAAGGTTGCAGAAATCTATACAGATATACACAAAAAAGGGGAAAAATACGCAAAAAGCACTCTATCAGAATGATAATAATTTATATTTTTTTAGTATGTACTAATTATTTTGGCCCAGGTGCGCTGAATAATGGCAAATCCAGCAACTACCAGCTGGCTGTCAATTATTACTTGGGAGTTTGCTCCTTCAAATTAAATAGTTCTTTTAAAAAATTAAATTCTGTTTTCCCCTCTGCAAATCTCTAGGTCCCCTAAGCAGATGATTCTAGACATTACTTACAGCAATGCCTGCTATTAGCAGGCTGGGATCAAAATAACAGTTAAATCCCTTTGAAACGTCTGCCTGTCAAAGCCAATATCAGATGGGAAGCGAGCATCCATCTGCCCCCTTTTCCCCCCTTTTTCTTTTGGGGAGGAGGCAGGATCTCRCCCATCTCTGCTCAGACTTTGTTTCTCTGCAGCTATGAGCCCTTCAGGGGGCTTATTGTCTGTAGACCACGTGGTCTAGAAAGTTCAAGAACCAGGAACAAGTATCTTGTGCAACTCTTCTAGCAGTACCCACAAGAATGTGTTCTATTGCCAACCTACACAGAGAACCTTCTCTGCTCTCCACAGAGAAGGTGCTTCTGAGAAGGTCCTTCTCTGCTCTGGTTGGAAGTCCACCATGTTAGACAAGCACACAACAAACTAACTCAGGTCATGGCCTCTAAATATTATTGCAGCATCATGGAGAAGCACCTCAGAGATGACAGGCTTGATCTGGAAAAGTCCACCAAGATGCGTAACTACCAGTCTCTAGGAAATCGTCTGTGAGATCTCAGCCAAACCTTCCTTCCTGAATTCCTTACGGCCTGACTCTGCAGCCCGGAGAGTCCTTCAGACCCAGGCAGGCTGTGTCTACAGTCCTACTAGCACCAGGAAATCATCATTTTAAAGCACACTATGAAGGAGAATTGTACTTAGTGGCAAAAAAATATGCAGAGGAAACAGGGACAAGCCTGTCCCAATTACTGCTGTGCCCAACCACAGCTACAGGGTTTGGTAARAGAAACAAAGCAGAAAACAAACTAGAAATCGGGCAGTGAGAACCAGCTAAATAGCTTTGCCACCAAGGCAAATCCCTTTGCACTGCTTTGCCAAAGCTGAAATGTTATTTCTGTTTTCTGTCCTGGAGAAAAAGAAGCTGGGAAAAAGAAGGACATGTGATTCATATCAAGCTTATTCCAYGCAAACAGAAGTGAGGTGCTGAAACAGTGTGACTACAGTGACGTGGAACTGAAAGGTCTGAGTGAGGACTGAGCTCSCTCTGAGCCACACTGGCCATAGGCCACAGACCTTGCGCAGGAACTAAGGTGGCATCTCCAGAACATCAGTGCTGGAGACCACGTACACTGTCCTTGGCTGATAACCTTAGGATCTCTGTACAAAACACCACTGTAGCACCATGGATGTGGWTTTGGTTAAATAGTGGCTGAATTGGTGTTACTTAACACAGTAGCGTTTATTGTTTGGTGAGGAATAGGAAATATGAAGTCATTAGAGATGAATGGTGGTGTTCTCAGAAACGCATGCACCAAGACCAGTGTTTATCTGGGAAAGCTCTTGGCATCGCCTGGGTAAATACACGGTTAGAAGAGTCCACACTGCCTTGGCACCAAGTTCAGGTTTACTGAGCACGTGATGGAGGACTCTGCTCCTGTGCAATAGGTCCGAAGCATCTGGATTACCAAATCCTGGCTGTTAGCTCTTGGGGCCTCTTAAGAAACAGTGGAGTTGTGCCGTGTTTCACTAGCGTCTCACCTAGTTCTCCCTAACCACATCTGTGTGCAGCGTAATGCCTCATGCACCCATGAGGGAGCTGGAAAGTAGCCAAAACTTACACAGACAGATCAGCTGCAGTGGGCATCCTGCTATTTAAAATTGCACAGGGCTTTAGCACTATGGTTGGCACTGTTTTTACCTCCAGTTATGTCAGAGCTTTCAGGACTGGGATCCTCAACCATCTCATCTCCCACTCTTTTCCCAAACTACAGCAAAGTCTGACCCATCTTAGGCCTCCATACTCCACAGCAATAACTATTTAACAGTTGCTGTAGTGATTTAATAGTTTAGCTCTAACGAGTGCAATGAACTGAATTCAGTGTGGGCAAACTTCTTTTATGTCTTTCCCCATGCAACTTCAGGAATCTTACATAAAAATCCTTGGACTTCCTCCGGACAGCCATGGTCTGGCCAGTCGGTATATTGCAAGTGCCACACAGTCCTCTCCTGTCCGGACAGGAGGTGCTTGACCTTGAGCCCCGTGGTCGCGTAGCAGCCCGAGTCCGTGCGGAACTTGGTCGTCACCTTGAACTTGCCGTAAGTGGCTGAGCTGTGCTTGGAGCCCAGCTTAGGCCAGTAGCGATGACTCTTGCTCCTTCCTCCCTCCTTAAGCAAACAAAGCAAGATGAAAGCATGAATGAAATACCCTTTAGCTGTTGCTGTTATAGTTCTCTACAAACAAGGCACAAAACCGTGCGGATAAGCCAAGTTCCCTCACTTATCTTCTTCCAAATGATGGGAAGAGGAAGCAGCATCTCATGAAGTAAATGAAGTACCCAATAAAGCTCTCAGTCATAACTTATTCCCAATTCCTACACTTGGAAGTGAGAGAAGGATTAGTATTTACATACATAACAGACTCATTAGAAATGGGAAGGAAAAGCTTTTGCCTCAAGGCAAAAGCCAACTACTGCCTCCAGGAGCAAATCAAGTGCTCCTTGGGCAGCCTCCCCTCTGCATAGGGAAAGAGATCCTTTCCAGCAGCTTTCCTGCTCTGGATCATTSTTTGGAATAGGGACCCGATGTCATATGGCATCCTCAGCATTTTTGTTAAAAGTAACCAGGCATGAGGCTGAAAGCTACAGCAGCAACATATACCGGATTTTATAACATAGCAAAKAGTTCTTGGATTACAATAGAAATAACTGTTTTGCTTGGCATATGAATAAAAAGATTTTTCTTTTTTTTTTTTTTTCTAATGGATACTACTACGGAAACAACAGCTCCTGGTCTCTTCTCCGCTGATAAGAGTGAGGGTATGCAGAGCTGGCCTTGGACGGGGTGGAAACGTGTGTCCTTTCAAGCAGGAGCGGCTCAGGGCTCCTCTCGGATTCCAGGGGAAATATCTTTGCTTTGTTTGGCCAAACTGAAACCAAGCGGGGAGGGAATGGGGGTGTTCTCACTTCACTTCAGTACTTGCCAAACTGAGTATTAGAGAGTTACAAAATACAACATTACAGCAGTACAAGCAATCGCTGAAAGATAACAAAAGGAAGAAGGGCTGTTGATAGAAAAACAGGTTGCTGGAGTGGGAAGTGGTGATAACAGGAGGTTTGCTCACATCAGAAAGAAGGGCGCTCTGCGATTCACATACCTCTTCCGCCGTGACCATGGCTATAACATTCACGCCCTGTTCCCACACCATCTGCCAGAAGTCATGGCACGTGTGTGGCAGAGGCCCTTGGGTGGCAATGTAGTGCCACTCTTCCCCACCTACAGCGACCTGGGAGCAAGGGGGAGAAAAAAAAGCAGTCAGTACCACAGTGCCTGAACTGCCCTTTGAGCTCAGGAGGCAGTCATGAAACCCTTAATGCTTATTCCTTTAACACAGATCAAAATGTTAAGCAAGAATCATCCTTTTCATAATAGCAAATCTGAAAAAAAACCCTCAGTCTTTGGTGGTTTCAAAGTCCTTTTCGGATGCCCATAAACCAAATGCTGTCAGCAAAACACCACCCGTTTTTCTTGCCACTGCATCTGGATCCCATAGCTGAAAGAAAAACATTTATTTAAGGCCGTGTTTCTGAGAGGGCTTAAGTTACTTAAATATCAATAAACAGCTGACCGACTTCCCTGGGCTTTGTGACAGACCCACACTGAAATAAAAACTGGGCACCAGAGGAAATGTCCATATGCATTTAAAAGGCATTGCCTGCCTGCAAAATAACACACAGTTGTGCAGAAAGCAAAATAGCAGGAATGTTTTGCACTAGGAAAGCTGAAGTCTCTGCTGATTAAGGGCCTCACTTTTTTTTTTTCCCCTCCCCTGAGCAGAAAATAAAGGAAAAAAAAAATCTTAAGCAGAATCTTGCTACACCAATCACTGCTAGAGATCTGGCCAGAGCATTGCCCAGCTCACACAGTTGTGTCCACATGTTGGGCTGAATGCAGGGCTGCAATCCTGTTCCTGGCTCTTGATAAAATCAAGATAGACCGTCAGGTTTCATTTCAAGTTTATCTTCCTCACTCATTTTATTTTATTCCTTTTTTTTTTTTTCCAGTTTAGAGGCAACAATCTACTACAGAGTAAATCGAGTGCACTGAATGACTTTCAAATGCCAGAGGAAAGGCAGAATTATCTAAAGCTATGGTCATGCAAACTTATTTCCCAATACATAACCAACACAGATTTCTGACCTGCAGAAAGAGCTGTGTATTTGCATGACAACATATAATGGAATGATTTTTAAAGTACCAAAACAAGGATTTACAAAGCCTTAGGTACAAAGAACTCCAACACTTTTAGAGATACTAGATATCATTTAAAAAATATGCCTACCAGTTAAAAGCAAGACCAAATGAACTAATTATTCTCAGAAGTTGAAATATTTTTCCTCCTCAAACTAAGACCTTCTAGTTCTACAAGTTAGGTCACAGCCACTTTTCACAACGAAGTTATAAATCCCAGAGAAAAAGATTTACAGCAGAAGTGCTGACATGTCCATAAATATCACGGTGCTGGCRGACAGTCCTATAAGGAGCAATCAATAATTCTGACAGGTTTAAGCATATACTATGTTTGAGGTAGAGGTCTTTGAATACATTTTTTTTTCATAAATAGAATCAGTTTATTTGTTATTCAAACAGCTGTTCATTAAACTGAGCTGCTTGCTTTTGCACCTGCAGTTAGTGCAGCATTTGAATGATAACCAGTTCCTCACCGCACTGGGAAAGGCTTTCATCCCTTTACACTGAGTTCACTTTCTTATTTTGTGCTATATGTTATTCACCTTCATGTCTGACTGCTTAAAAACCCAAGACCAGTGCAGGCAAACTCATGAAGTGCTTGGACAGAAATGCAGGCTGTGCACCACTGATGTGGAGCTGGTCTTGCACTTGCATAGTGGTGTTGGCAAAATACTACCTAGTGTTTTATGTTAGTACTGGCAATCAGATATAATTGTCTTAAAACCTCTTTTTCTTCTGTAGTCCATAAATTCAATTTTGTTTCCTGTGTCTGGTCTAGATGACAACCTTAGCATCGTAACAGCAAAGCCGGGTGGTAAACAAGAACAGAAATCCTGAAAGTCTGTGGGGCTTTGCAGACTGAGCAGTGGGAGCTGGAATCCTCCAGGCATGGATCTTATCAGGGTGATATAGGAGTTTTCTTTGTCTACTGACTTCTGGTCCAAACATCCAGCCTCCTGGCAGCCAACATGAAAGAACAATAAATAGTCTGGAGGGAAGCGATGCCTGGAACAGTTACTGTGCACTGGTGCCCTGACTGCAGGATATTAAAAATTGAATATTGGGCTGCAAACACACACACACACACACACACCCCACACCCCACTACCGAGGTGAATTTCACAGATGCGATTTCACCTTCTAAGCAAAAGAACATCTGCTTGGCTCCTGCAGCTGCTGCTTGGAGCATGAGAGGAAAATATTGGCAAGAGCCATTGTCATACGCTGAAAATGCTGGTACATATTCCTGGGTGCCCTACGGATGCAAAATGAGTGCACTGACACACAGGGTAAAATGCGGACTAGGARCTGGCCAGGGAAATTTCTTTTCTGGCTAAAATGGCATTGTGGACACAATTTATGTTAGGAATCTTTTTTTCTTTCTTTATCCCCTCCCACAGTATAAATAAAAAATTGGGGGGATAGAAATTCATCATCCTAGCCATGCCTGATTATGCAAAAACTCAGTATCTACAACCTACCAGGCTATGGGAGAAAAGCGGTAACCTGCCAGGATCCTGTTTTAGAAAACTGTTTTCAATCAACAGAATTTAAKGCTGTAAATCACAACCAAGGAGGCCAGCAATTCTCTTTAATCTTAAAAAGATTTTACTCCATAGAAAAAAAGAAATAGACTATGTTTGCAAGTAACAGTCAAATAATACCTTAAGTTGTTCCCATGTTGAATTACCAAGTGGTATTTTGACAGAAATTTATTCTAACATGTAAGAGTGCAATATTGTAACCAAGCAGATTTATAGGAATATTTCAGTTATCTTTATGGATGCTAAATAAGTTAGACACTCAGCCCCGATGAAACCAGGAAGAAATGTGGAAATTATTTAAATGTAGAACTGCAATACCTATGTGAACATGCATTACTCTGAGGGCTGCGTGTATTGTTTTGGACATAATGCTGCATGCATGGAACTGCATCTCTGTTGTTTTTAAAAATAAATCCTGCATGCTAGTGATGGAGAAAAAYGATGTTGCAGTCAAACGCTGCACAGTACTTCTGTACCGGTCCTTGGCAAKGACCTCTTCTGTCAAGGAAGCAGACTGGTGGCTGTCGTCTCACAGTGGCCTGCCAGGCTACTCTGACTGATAAATCACAACAGGCATTGTCTGAGTGTGCAAACTTTCCCACCACCTGAAATCCCCATCAAAAACTTCCACTAGTTGCCTTGGCTTTCTGCTGCTCTTTCTTTCAGGTATAGAGTCATGCCAACTGTGTCTCACTGCATTGCGGCTAGACTAAATCATTTTCACAGAGTTTAAGAAATGGGGCATCTTTCTACATTACCTGAGAAAGACATTTCATAAGCAGCTGGCAGAGACAGGCACAAAAAAGCAGAATGCCTCCCTAAAACAACTTCTAAGTCTCCTGCAAATAAATCATCTCATGCATGTTAATTGTTGTGGGAATTCAGAGATGCATACGTTGACACAAAGGTGTGGCAACACATTCTGTTTTGATTAATTTACCTTTCCGTAAGTTCCAGAATTACAGAACACTCTGCTGTGCATCCACACACACATGGACAAAGCCCTAACATACCTCAATTTGCAATGCRAAGTCCAAGGAAGCTCTTACCTTTATGTGTGAAGCATTGATGTAGCCTGAATTGTTTTCTTTGGTTGGCACCAACTCAACTCGGTTCTCTTCATAAGGAACAACCTCCCTGACACGGTTGCGCTCAGTGTTTTCAGGCAAGGCAGCAGTGGTGAAGATCCCRTCGGCCTTTTTCTTTGGAATCTGCTCATATTCTGTAAACACCATCCCCTCTTCCAACTTCCTTCTCAAGATTTTGCACTAAGATTTAGCAGAAAAGAATACGCAATGATTAACTGTTCCTAGAAGGACGTCAGTGTGCCACTAGGCCACGTGCATCAGTTCTATACATTTCAACATATAACCATAATATTCTTTTACTCTTTTCTTTTGTCARCTGCAGTTATTTACGTAAACATGACGGAAACCATTAGCAAATTTTACATTCCTACTTCAGACTTGAACATGTTTAGGTCAGAGAAAGAAAGAATATGCCATATATTATCCTGATTCAGTATATATTTATACATGATTTCACCACAGCAAATATTTGTAAAAATACTTTAAATTTCTTTTTATATGAAAAGATCCCATTGTGGGAAGTGTAGTATGGTTCACACCACCTTACTTGTATGCATACAATTTCTATGGCTGTACAAAATCCCACATATGTACAAGTCAGGGTAAATTCTATCTGCATACCAGACAATGCAAGTCTGCAAAATGCAATTTGGAAAGCCAGAAAGAAAGATTCCTTGCAAATGCCTCTCAATTTTTAATGCCAGTAACAGTTTTTAATTTCTGAAATCCCATATACATGCACATCTGCAGCCATTAGGACACATGATTTTTTAAATCTAATTAGAGACATTATCTGCACTTGTTAGTTGTACCAAAACATGGAGAATAGCATCTAATGACAATCACTACAGAAAGACTCCCCAATCAAGTAAATAAAAACAAGTACAAAATATTAGATTTACAACCTGATCTTGAATGACATTGAACAGCCTTGGCTTTCCCTGACTCCAGTTAATTTTACAGCCATTTAACGTTTTGCTTAACGTCAAAGATGCATCACTGTTAACCACAGACCTTGGCCACTAATGGCTCTGAGGACAGTTACAGAGAAATGGTTTCCCACTCTCAATGAAATTTTAATACTTTGGAAACTTTCTGCTGCTGGRAACAAAAGAAATGAGTAGCGTTTCAGAAGGCTCCATCTTACCCTCTCATCCATTGGCACCTTGGCTACTTCATCCTGGCTGTCCTCCGGCACACGAACCCTCGCAACCGAGAGCCCATTCAGTGCTGCCAGCATCAAGGGCCTCTTCTGGGCCTCCAGGCCTGCCATCTTCTGCTTTTCTAGATTCTTTTGGCAAGAAAAGGCACGTTTTCATCTCTGTGTGATTATTTATAATGCCAGTAAAATGCTGGAATGTTTTTTTAATCTCCAAAATCTGCAACTCTCTGGCCAAGGAATGCAGATGATCACCATTAGCATCATAAATTCAAATACAACCTCTATTCTTYCTGCTAGTCCTCAAAGGCCTGCTCCTACATGAGCACAGAATTTTAATTTCAAAGAAGCAATCTCAGTGTATAATGCAGTTTACATGCCATCAAAAGACATACAAATACAATCTTGAGCATTTTCCTGTAAACACTGCTCTGAATGCAGGACACACAAAGCATCACCCTGTTATGTTGAACTAGCGCTACCACAGCCAAGATATCTGGGGCATCTTTTAAAAAGCAATAATTTCAATCTATTGCAACAAAAGGGAAAAATGCAGCATAGTTATTTCTCTTCTGCAATGCTAATACTTAAAAGAAGCAGCATTCTGATGCATTCACTTATTAGGGGGCATTCAGATAGCATTCACTCTGCATTTCATATTTAAAATTGAGCTCAAAAATTGTAGGAAAAAAGCCTAACAGCAGCCAGGGATGAATACTGTTTATCACATTCGTGGATYGTATACATTGCAACACAGAGAATCCAGGTATGAATTTTAAATTTATCCAGCTGCCCTCCTTATGCCACTGGGAGCCAAAACATATAGAAAAGTGTCAGACAATCGCCCTAAAGAACAGAATGAGAAATATTTTATTCCATTTCCTTGATAGCTTTTCCTGTCTGCGTTGGAGGGAGAGCTGTGCACCAGGGAGGCCTGGTTCACAGCATGCATATGAAAGCTGTGGTTACCACACGGGCCAAGCTCAGCTCCTGCAAACACGCTGGCRAACCCAAATGCCCTCAGACAAATGCAAATGGATGGATTTTTCAAAAGTCTGTGAGCTTTTTCATCACCAGTGGGTTCCTCTAAAGCACTACATAAAACAAAACAAAACATAAAAAAAAAGAAATAAAAGGAAGAAAGGCTAATAAAAATCCCAACACACTCTTTTTTTCCTTATTAGGTTTTCAGACAGGAGAGAAAGCAAGAATTATTCCTTTGCTTCAGGATTAAAAAAATACTTTAAAGGGTAAAACAGAAATCTTGTGTTTAAAAGATCAGGCTCACTGAATATGCAATTCCTGTGGTAACAGAAAGGTTTCTATATCTTAAGATTCCTGAACTAGCCTGAAACCACTTTAAAAGCTTAATGCTAAGAACACCCATCTGCTTTCCAAAAAAACTTAACCTAACTGCATGCACTGAAAGAAAGAGCAAAGGCTGATCTGAATGATTATCCAGAAGAGGAGCAATCCAGCAACATCTCTAAGCTCTCGTCACCTTGATTTGCTTCCTGAAACTCTTCAGAATTCTGCTTTTCAATGTACTTTCACTCCCCAAAAGATCAAAGTCATTATATATGTGATTCTTGTTACACCATACCTCTGCACAATTTCTATACACAGATTATGTTTTACAGTTGGATATCTATTTTACATTTAAAATGGATGCCTCTATAGGGATTAAATTTAGTGTGCCACAATATAATTCAGTGGCACAAGGTTGATTCCCAGCCATCACATCAGTGGAAGCAACACTTGATGAATAAGCAGTATTCATAATTTAGAAAAATATTCTTTGAAAATATAGTGGTATTTAAATTTAGTAAGTCACTGCAATGTCCCTCATATTCTTTCTGTTGCACACAGTGGCACTCAAGTCTTTAATACGTTTTATTCTAAATGCATTGTGGGCTTAAAAGAACCCTATTTCTCATATGTAAGTATGTGAACAAGGAGGGGAAAAAATAAGTAAACAGATATTCTGCGTCCCAGTCTCTACTTTCCTTGCTTCCCTGATTAGATACCAGGTCAATTGTTTAGTTATTGGCGAGACAGTCCACCTCTACTCTCTCACCAGTGTTTTATTCAGATAGGTATGTTATAGAAAGTGGCAGAAAAGGCAATCAAAATGATAACTGAAAACAAACAAACAAAAAATCTCATAGTCTCCGTTATGAACGGAGTTCTCCATTCTGCAGCAAATACATTTCAGACTCAGTCAGCCCATGGTCCGATGAAGTGCCAAGGGGACAGACCCTTGGTGGCTGCTTTATGAGCAGCCTTGTCAAATTTTAAGTGGCACTTAATAGGGCATTTCATAAGCAAATCAGCATTTTCCCACTTTTATGCTACTCTTAGTTTTTACTGACCCCAAAGCTTTTTTTTTTATTACATTAAAAAAAAAAATATATATATATATATATATATATGTAATTACCCAGTTTCAAGAAACCACTGCAATGGAGGAAGGCACTTACCCTCATCATGATTTCTCTTTCTATAATGCTGTCTTCAATAGAAAACATTTCAGAGACAGGTCTTTCCTTGACGGGCTCCTTCTTGACCCTCTCCTTGACACTCGTGAGGTCAGGCTCTGAGATAGAGGGCCCAAGCGAGGACCCATTTATTGCCACTTGATCAGTTCGAGATACACTGATGGCCTTAGATGGCCCTGGCCTCATGGCCTTGGCCCTGGCCAYGGAAACACTAACATGGTCCTGCCTCAGAGCTCCATTGCTGACACTTTTCCGAGGCCCAGGATACTCTGGAGGAGGTTTATTGGGTATCCTAGCCAGGGCGGCTTGCAGCTGAGCACTATATTCCATGTTCTCATGGAGGGCTGTCATCTGCGACACAGGCTCTGCCGTTTCCTCCTCCTCTTCACTTTCGCTGCTATGTATCAGCATCGTGGCATCAGAGAATGTCTTTTTATGGTGATAGTGAGGAATCTGCTGAACCTCATGTCCCATCTGAACTGCATCTTCCGGCTGCACCTGCTCCCGCAAAGTATTCCTGCGTGGCAGGGGGGCGTTCAAAGTTTTGAGTGCCATGGCTTCTATACCACGTACCATGTTGCTGATGACCTCCAGGCTGTGGCGCTTGTTGGCGGCCGCGTGGTGCTTCACCGCCATGAGGGGCTCGCTGACCTCCTGCAGAGACTGGCGGACCACGGGCGAGCTGTCCTCCTGGAACGTCTTCACGGAGAGCTGCACCTTGCGGGTGACCAGGTCAGGACTGCTCCCGCTGACGTACTTGTGCCGGTGGCTGGCCAGGTCGGGAGTGCTCGTGGCAGGACGTGGCCGGGGGTACGGAGGCGGTGGTCTGAACAGGTAGTTCTTCAACATGTGGGCAGTGTTGTAGTTCTGGCTGCTTTGCAGCTGCATGTTAGCCAGTTCCGGGGTGCTAACTGTGTGTGAGATGGCGCTGGCTGCCRTCTTATTTTGCACAGTGTTATTAGGGTTCATTTGGTCAGAGGGGACAACAGGTTTGTTATAGCTGCCACCACCACCACCCTGGGGACCGTAAGTCATAGTGTAAGGATGTCTCTCACGGATCTCGGGCTGACTGTAAACTAGGTCTTCTGGCTGGTTGTAAGCATGTGTGTTTCCAATATTGAGATTCCTCAGGGACTGACTTTGGCTATCCATCTGGATCACTCCTCTCTTCATTTGCCTCATGACAGTTTCATAATCCGGAGTCGGCCGATAAGATGGTACTATGATTGCACTGTGTCTGTGGCTGGGGATATAATCTGCTCTCATAATGTCGCTTCCAGGGATGCTCAGGTTGGAGGACATTGGAGATGCCTGAATGAAGTTCTGGGAGCGATTAAGGGAGTTCATGCTGTGGGCACTGCATACGCTCCCATTGGGTCCGTTACCATTTAGGTAGCTGAAGTCCACTGGACACCTGTCCAGGCTAGTCTGAGACCTACCGTAGAAAGTTTCTTCATTTCCATGGAAAATGCTGTCTGCATAGAGCAGAGATAAAGATGAAGACAACGTAATGTACAAGGACTCATTCAGTGTTATCAGAACTTCAAATACATTCTGCACCAGTGATTAAACAGGCAGCTCAGTGTACATCTGSAAGGAACATTTGGTCTTGGGAGCATCCTTGAGTCACTGATACTGAACCAAAACAAAGCTACTGACATAAACACTGCTGACAGTTAGCAAAATATGGTAGTTAAGATCCCTGTGGGAAGCATGAAAGGGGAACAGGAGGAAGTGTTTTTGCCTGAGGTGACAAGAAAGAACAAAGGCATCTTCTTCCTCAGCATCCTGGAAGGGTTCACCACTGCTGCCTTAAGAATGCAGCACTGATAGCCCTTCACAATCCTAAAATTTATTTTTCTTTTTTTTTTCTTCTGTTGATGAAACTATTCTCCATTACTCAAAGTACTTCATTATACTTCAGACTAAATCAACAGAGTTTGGGCATCACAGAACAATACAGAGAGGGATCAGGGAGTTTAAAAAAAACCTACAGATGTGCCAAAATAAAATTAAATGATTCTACAAAGGGTGTTTGAGAGGGAATTAAAAGGGCAAAGATGTCATTCTGGTGCACATTAAATGACTTTATTACAAGACTGTCCATGTCAACAATACAGAAAAGTCCATAGCAAAACACAGGGAACTTTCMAGTTGTTCTAAAACTGAGAACTTTCCCTATCGCAGTCTCTGTTCCATGGTAGAATATTGCTATTCCCTGCATCTTCCACTGTGTGCAAGGCATAATACTGATGGGCCTTCTTGCAAAACTTACCAAACTTGACCTTAAAATCAGTCACACTACCACTRCTTTAAAATGCAGTTGGGTCTGGCTAAGAGCTCTTTTGCCAGTGAGAGCACTTCAGCTGTAGCTCTTGTAACTGCAGAGGACACGGCCCACAGATCTGGCTATGGGTATTTCAAACGGCGGTGTGGTTAAGGGTGTGAAACTCGAGCTGCTCAGCAGCTCGGCTCCATTCCCAAACTTGATCAAAGTAACCTGGTACAACCTCTTAGACAATTTAATTGCCAAAGAGAGGAGTAAAAGCAGGCAACTCTCCTTAAGTCTATCAGGAGAGCAATGCAGTGAAATGCTGATGAAAATCAGCAGAAAAGACCAGGACACTGATGTCCCTCTAGAGTAAAAGATATTTTCTGTCTCCTTCTCCCTCATTGCATTTCTGTCCCTGCCCCCAGCTGGCACAGCCTTTGAGTACAGCTATCATACTTTCCTGGGAAACCATTTTTCGGTTCACTGGACTGGAATGCCAAGTTTCAGGTCCATATAACCATGCACGGATATTTTAGGAGAAATCTGAAAACTGAAATTGGACTTTAAACAGAAGCCTTTCTGCAACATTAACTATAAAACTGCTAGTTCTCCTCCAGCAACAACTCTCATTTGACCACAATGGCATTTGAAATCTAGACATAAGGGGCAGCAGCTTCTTTGCATACACATAAGTCCATTAAAGAGAACATGTATACTGTAAGTACCTTGTGAATTATGTGTTTCAGTGTAGTGCTCTCCACACTGGACATGCATAGGAGGCAGTATAAACGGGTGCTGTCTTGGCTGAAATAAAAGCACAAGAGGAAAAAATAAGAGAGAGAGGAACTTCACCAAAATAGTTTACTACAATCTTTGCAGATGAACAGAGGAAAAATTATTCTACACCCTTTCCCCTGAATACTGCTCTTTCTTGCCCAGCTGAACAAATGTACTTGGCATTTCCTTATAAAACAGACAATAACATTTTGTTAATTGTTAAGTTTTGTTAAGGAGCCCAAGGCTGACTTGTTAGACGCTTTTAAACTCAGTCAGCTCAGAAAACATCATTCAGGCTCTCAACCCACCTARGAACCATTGGAAAGCTTATAAAATGCCCTTGCCCTTGAAAAATTAAAAACGAAAAAGAAAACCCACAGGGAAAACCAAAGAACAAAAACTACGCACTAATCAGGACAAAAACAACTGATGGAACAAATTCAAGGACCTGTAGGTGGAACACTGTCATACAAGCAAGAGGAGCACATATGGACTTACAACAACCTCATGGATAACCTGAATACTGCATTACCTCAATAACGAATTACCGCAGTCCAACCTTCCTCTAATGATCTGCATTGCAACAAGCATTTTGACAAAATAAGTATCACGGGGGCAATTCAGCATTGAATCAGGGAGATGATTTACACAGAAATAAAGCACAGCTGATGCCATATTCACCAGCTTTGTCCTTTCATAAATTGATGTGTTTTGCAGCAACATTTTACCACCTGCATTCTGCTCTCGTCTGGTGTCACCGAGCAATGATAAAGAAAACACGTGCTGACATACGAATTGAGCAGAGAAGGGAGATGCTCCTGCCTCCTGAATTTTCTTCCTTAGCAAGGGAGTAAGGGCTTTTCATCTAGGCTGATCCAAGTGGCCCAAACTATTAACAAAGACTGCAGGGTCCCAAGGTAGAAAAAGAAACACCAATTTCCCTCTACGTGCATATGCACACAACCATCTGCAAGCAACAATTAGCCACTGTTTAAAGGGGAAAAAAAGGGGTTAAATTTCCATTTTCTATGTAAATAGAGTGAGGGAGGAAGACTGAAAGAAACTGAGTGCACATGCGAGCACTTGCATGTGTAGTGGATGTTAAGCGAGAGCTGGAAGAGAATAAGAGATAYTTCCACAACAATTACTTTGGATAAGGATATAAAACACTGCTCTTGCTGAACAACCTGGGCAAAGGAGGCCACCGCTGAGAGTCCAGGTAGCACAAAAGTCTAGCAAAACCAAACAATTTGAAGCTTCTATGCCCAAATTTGGAACATCTTTCTTTTTTTTTTTTTTTTAAATTAATTATCTCATCATACTAAAAATCTCCTATTTGGAGGAGGTTTTGCTGGAAAACGAGCGTCTTTTGAGATGTGAGAGGTATAAGAAACACAGTGTAAGACAGCCTTGCGTTAACTGATAATAAAATACAGGCTCACCAARTTGCCAAAACCATGCAAATGGTCATACTCTGAGAGCAATGAGCATGATTCTCAGTTAAGTGGCAAAGTCCCACTCCCAAAGATTCTCCTTCACTTCCCATTTGTGTCTATGATTTATTACCATATAAGACAAATGACAGTTAGATGTACAGAGGTGTGTAGGAATGAATAGGCAGGTGTATAAAGGCTAGAGATTTTTTTTTTTTTTTTTTTTTTGCAAAGAGAACTGTTCCAACAAGTAAGGAAGATTATGGAAAAAGAACACTTAAAAGTTCAAGCTGAACAGTTTTTAATTGATGAGCATGTATTCCTTCTCTTGATCCTTCTGAGTCACTTTTTCCCATAAAAGTAGGATTCACTTTTCATGTTAAAATTCCTATTTTCCTTATCTATTAGAAGGTAGCTGCTTTTTTCCTTGCAATATAGCTGAGGCATAAGAATTCAAACTACACTTCCTCTTCTCACTCTCAGTTGTTCACAGTAGACTTCAAGGAACAAACTAATAGATCACAAAAATACTGTAAGAAAGCCTCAGACAATGTAACACAAAACCTCTGTGCATTATTATGGCCCAGAAATAATCTAAAAGTGGTTTAAAAAAAAGTTTAAGGTTTTAAGGTTAAAAAAAAAAAAAAAAAAAAAAGCAGAGCAAAACCAGCTAAAACAGGTTTCCTGCAAATGTCTAGGAAACGCAGAATGCAACTTTAAAATCTATTCTATGGTGTGCAAGCATCAAGAAAGCAGCCTGGGCTGCAGTCTAAGGTAATGTATTATTAGCTTAATGTCTAAGTCTTAGCTTAATGTCTAAGTATTAGCTTAATTTTGGAACATTTTCACAAGCTGTGATCTTWTCTTCGGGATATGTCAAGAAAACACTTCTGCTCATGTTAGTTCTCCACCGTACAAGAGGCTAACAGAGTATTGAAAAGGGCTACAAAGCAAGTATAACCTACATCAGAAATGAAAACTGCTAACTGTCATACAGATAATGTTGCCCTCTCTCCGCAAGATTAGCAGTGCTGCTGCTAATCTCATTTAAGACATTCTGAACTACTGTGAGAAACAAAGACATAAAAGATGTTAAAAGTGGATCAATAAAGAGTGTGCTCAAAACTAACTGCAAAAAAAAAATTTCCACAGATTTTCTTGTAARGACTTCATGAAAGTTATCCAGCATTGTCAGATTTATAGTATTTATAGRTATTTTTTAAAAAGAACAAATACCATCTAAGGAAAAGAAAATCTCAGAATAAGGCTCCTGGACTGATCATAAAAGTTTTAATTAAAATTATAGTAAGTTCACACAGAGAATAGCATCTTAATGTCAGAATCTGGTAAACTAGAAGCAGACTTAACATAAATCAAGAGGAATAGAGGAAATTCAAGATGAGACACTGTAAAGTCAGGTAATGACTAGGTTTTTATGTGTAAAGCACAAAACACTTCAAACTTTCCCAGGCGATAAAGATTTTTCTTCCTTTCCTTTCCCACATTGAATATAACCTCAACTTCGTAGGAAAGATGCTTAGCTTCTGCTGTGTTAGTAAAAATATAATGCCTTGAAGAGTGCTGTTTTTAGTACTCAGGGTGATATTATCCAGGTAATTTAATCAATCTAGCAGCCACACCCTTGAACCATGCTGCCAATCATGCTGCCCCCAAGGACTGAGTTAACGTGGTGATTTGAAATTCCAAAAGCTTTCTGTTTTACACAACGTCCTGTTCCAGAAGAAATGGTATAAACAGAGATCCCACCATGGTACATACCAAGGACGACCTACTCCAAGTGGGCCGCCGTCGGATAGGGGGAGGAGAACTGGATTGTCTGTGGGGGAAAAAGTGATGAGAAACACTAGCAGCTGCAACGCTACAATTCTGATTCATGAGAGAATGAGGAAAACAAAAGATGAATCCTCAAATGCTGCCCATTAATGAGATTCAAGGGAAAAAAATAAGTAGATGAAAATAATTCAGGCTCTTCTCTACACAAAAAAGTATCCTGATTCCACAATACACATGCTTTCCATCCATTATTGTATCTGGCTTACTTAGAAACACAGAGAAGAAAAACTCAGGTTTAAAAATAAATCAAACAAAATCTCTTAAGAAATAAAAACTGAACATGTCACAGAGGCACAGTTTCAGATAACTTAAAGTGAACATCAAATAATGAAAATCTTACAAAGTCCATAGCAATCACTCCAAAGCAATGCACACAGACTGGGAAGCAAAACGTTCCTGGTTAGATAATACTAGCAGAACCAGGTACAACATCACAGTAGCCAGTTGCAAAGGAAGAAATAACAGTGGACACAAAAAAAAAAAAAAAAAAGAGGAAGGGGAAGAAAAATGTTTTAAAAAGGCAGAAATATAGTGCTTACGTGAAGAGAGGAAAGGTGGAATTTCTCCTCTTACAGTTTCTGATCTGGTGAATGATTTTATGTGCAATTAGAGGAAATGCACACAGAGGAAAACAAAAAACTATCATTATAAGACAGAGGTCAAGAAAATTATTTAGCTATAAAATACACACTGAAATATGCTGTATCAATACATGTGGACCTAACATATAAGCTGGTACTGCAGGTAAGACTGTAATGGATAAGTCCAGTTCAGATGGCAAAAATCTACTTAAACTCCAGTTATTTTCAAGTACTACAYGTCCCCTGTTTGAGCTGTATAAGAAATTGCTACAAACCTATTTCACAGCATCCACATCCCTATTCCTCAGTATTTAGAAATAAACATGATGAGGAGCTATTGSTTTTTCAGTCTCAGTTATAAGCAGTAACAGAATAGCCCTGTCTGTTGATCCCAATATATCACTTCAAAGACGGAAGGACTTAAGCCAATGGACTATGGATTTTTGTTTTCTTGCTTTATTTTTTTTCCAGGAGAGTGCTTCCTTAGAATTCAGTTCCTCCAAGCCTCTTAGAATTTAATTTGGTACTAGACCATGAAAGTACAATATACTCTGCTATGAAATGTTTTTTTTTTTTCTGGTCTTCCACTCATCTCCCACGAATAGCAAATGCCATCTCAAATCTGATCAACATCTTTTTTTCCTCTAAGTGCAGCTCACCTCAGCAGTCTCCCCAATACTCTAACTCAATGTACATATTGTACATAATGTACAATGTACATACTGTGTACATGCATAATACTCGAGAGTTAGACTTTCCAATCTTCCCTTCACTAGTTTGGCTTTATTTTCCAACAGATGGCATTACCCAGCTGAACAGATGGGATGTCCAGCTCTAACTAGAGTTGTGATGGAGATGAGAYTTCTTCACAGCTTTCCAGCTACCTAGCTGATATGCTAGATATATTGCAAGAGATTCATATTCTCACCACTACACAAACCTGGCATATTGTGAAAAATCCTCAAACCCTAAATTCACTCAACTTATCTCAAAGTAAAATTGGCTGGATGCTGACATGCATGAAGTAACCCATGAGCTGCATGAAGTCAGCTCATAAACTGACTTTTGTCTTGCAACCAATGCCTCAAGAATTCCTCTCTTAATTACAATGGATTCACCTGCCTGTGAGAGGGCTAATTCAAGGCTAGTCCCTCAGTAAGTGCTCAAAGCAGAGCTTAGAAGAGGGACCTAGGGCTCTGAGTTGCAGGTTTTTTTGAGTCATGCTAGGATGACTGCATGGATTAATATTTCCAGGTGTCCTCCCCATCACTCGTTTGATGCGTTTAAGAAGCAAATAAATTATACTGCTCAAATCAAAGGAGTAAAGCTGTGCTTTCCATTGACTTTAGCTGCTAGATGGCATCCTCAGAAGGCAATTATAATCCACATTTTAGCATATTAGAATATTTCACCTTTCCCTCCCTTTTATTCTGATAATCTGGGTCACGAATGGCAGAGACTAAGGGTTTCACTTCACAGTTCTCTCCCAGATTTGGCAGCAGGGGAGCAACATTCAATTGCAGTCATGCACTAGGCCTCACAAGGCTCRGAATTAAATTTAATTCTCATTCTTTTATCCTGATTGGTGGTTAAAAAAGAAAAGGAAGGGAGAAAGAATAGCTGGCACAAGTGACTAGAAAAACAAACAAAAACAGACATGCCAAAACTCAGAGAGCTTCCAAAGCCATGTGTCAGAACATAATTCTAAAGAAAGAGTACTCACTCTGTGCAGATTTTGTTCTGTTTGTAAAACTTATGTCTTGCTGCAAACAGTCGTGAAATATATTTGGCATTTTCAAGATCATCCTTTAAACACAAGAAAAAAAACAGAAAAATAAGAACAAATTTATTATTCACTTTGTTTTTCTTACCAAGTAGTAGGAAAGAGGAGCTCTAAAAATCCCATTGCAGTAATACTTGCTAAGGTCTGTCAKGCCCAGAAGCAGCTGCCAAGAATGCATCTAGTGCCCTCAAAAGTGTTCAAGGCATCGAATTACTGAAATACAGTGGCATGTCTTTACACGCTGCCACTTCACTGCGAAGTCACAGTGGGAGGGGAGAAGGGACAAGGAAGGAAAACAGCTCAGGCTCGCTCCTTCCAGGTTCCCTACTGGCCTTGGTTCAAGGAGACATGGAGGGATTTTTAAATGGTGCAGCCCAGCATTGCACCCTTCCTTGGGCTCCAGTATGCGTGTAGGGAAGCCTGTGCATAGCTGTTCCTATGGTTGTATTTATGCCAGCATCAAATGCAGAACAGCATGGGGAATGTTTCATCCAAGAAGCACTTCAGTTTTCTGCAGACTTCCCGGCACAGTATAGCTTAGGGTACTTAGAAGAGAGGACAAATATTGATACAGAAAAAAAAAAAAATTACTCTCCACAAAAAGAACTTMAGGGTGGAGGGGTTCATGGTGAGTAAGCCCCTCCAGGCTGTGGAATTTTAAAGTTTGTTTTTTTATATAAGCAAGTTTCTTGATGACACTTGGATCTTTTCCCTACCGTGTGAAAGAGCACATTCTCTTCTTTGTTGATCAACTCTAGAACAATTGAAGACTTGTTATGTGCTATATTCCCAATGTCATTCCACCTGTAGGAGAAAGAAAATGTTGGAACATTTGCCAACACATACACTCAAACATTTCACAAACGCATTAAGAGTCTCTCTTAGTCAACATCAGTCTCGTTTTATGGGAAAACTTGCCAGTAGCTGTTTCGTGAATAAACATTGTCAGAAAAATAATGAAGTTGTGTCCCTAATCCAAAAAAGCACATTCAAAAATTCTCTCTCAAAATGCTGATTTGAAGAATCACAATAAAAGACAAACTGAAAGTACATCAATGATAAACTTTATGTTGAATTGTAGCATCTTAGTGCTGATTGACTTTAGCCAGATGGAAAAGAAATATTTAGTTCTGCAGTTCCATTCCTCTCCAAATGCCATTTCCAACTTTCCTACAGAGCCATTTCTTTCTAAAGAAGGTTAACTTGACAACATGGTTATGTAGACTATGCATACCATGATAATACCCTGTTTTATGTTCCCAATCTTTTTTCTTTTTTTTTTTTTTTTTCCCATGTAATTGTCAGGTTACCCAAGATCAGAGTTATAATCTTCTTACAAATAGCTGACAGACACATTTGCGTACATTGCATGCAATCCACAGGGATGGAAAGGACTTGTTTGTTCTGTTTGCAGCATGCATTCCTCTTCATGTCATGGCAGGATGCTTCAAGTGCATATTTCCAAAGAGTAAGGACCTCAGCACTAACTATCATGTCTACATTTAAGAAACTTCTTGTCTTTGTCATCTACGTTTTAACAGGTCTTCAGAATGTCATGGTTAAAAGGAATATCTAATTTCTTTGTAAAAAATTACACAGGCAAAATGTCAGATCAAAGCCCTCTAAAAGGAAAAAAAAGAAAAAAAAAACCCCACCACTCAAGCCTGATACAAGCCTTAGCTGCTGAGTACATATTAATGTAGCTCATCACAAACAATCTGTTTGGCTACAAAAATATTCATATTCCCATAACCGGAACCTGGAAAAATCCATTCCAAGATAACAATTATATTAACAGGAGCAGCCCACAGAACAGTAGCACATAATAATGGGAATGAGTTAAACCTGGCTTCCCTGGAATCAGGGTGGTTTCTAGTAGCACCTTCATACAGAACAGGATTTTATGGTAAGTAACAAATGCCACAAACTGTGGTTAACAGAAAGCCTTGCATGATTCCTAATCACCCAGATAAACTGTAGAACAGACAAATGAGTGACACAGCAAGGCTTTTCAAAACTATGGGACAAAAAAGTTCAGCTTTTTACTGGGGCACCTAAACACAGCATTCAGATTTTCAAAAATGTTGAACACCTGGGCTGCCAACAGTGAGGCTGAACAGATTTGCATTCAGATGCATCAAAGAGGCAGACACAAAGGCAAGAAAAGAAAAGGGATCAAAGCCTTATAAGTAGAACAAGATACATGACAGARAACTATGCCTTTCTTGCCGTCAAACTCATTCACAGAGATCACAAATTATTCTTTATCACATCTTTTATGGCCAAGAGGCCAATCCTGAAAACAGGGAGGTGAGTACTCCTCAGGTAGAGAATTGGCACTATTGAAGTCACATGTAAGTATGGAGAAAAACCCACACACAGTGCTCTGGAAAAAGCCCTCACTTTAAATACAGAAGTTCCTAGGTTTTTACCTATAGATCACCGTTGTCCTTCCGATCCTGTTTTTTATGAAGATTCCCATGAAGAAAATACCAAGGTGTATGTCATTTCCATGATTATCCTAGGCCAAAAACAAACAAAAACAAACAGAAAAAATACTTAGTTTAATAAAGAATTGCCCAAAGAACACATACACACAAAAACAGATAGAGCTACCGAAAAAAACCCCATCCTGTTTAAGACATAATGCAGGACAGTGGCTAATCAACATTTTGTAGTKTTGTTTGACCATGATTTTTCATTGTTTTGAAGCAGTTAACACTTAAATGAATTTGGTTTCTTGATTAGTGAGAATGGATGAAGGCTAAACAAACTCGCCATTCAGTTTAGGGGAACAGTGGGAACACCACAAAAGAGCATGTATTATATTACACCCCACATTCCCTATAACTGGAATTACAGGCATCCAGAACTTCCAAAAACAACATTTTTCTTTCCTACTCACAGCATTACTCTTGTCATCTGGTGAAACAGGTAACAATCTCAGGAAACCACACCTGGAGATGGCATCTCTCTCAAAATCTACACTCTTCATACTTGTTTCTTTTGAGCATTTGGTGTAGAAGCTCACAACTTGGCACCCCAAATAGTACTTATTATAGTTCTGTGAAGATACACTTTCCATTGTTCTTCAAGTTATCAGTTAAATATTCAGCTACATGCACTTCACTCTACAACATCCATGTTTTTCAGAAACTATTGTTTTTGAGCCTGGACATGCCTCCTTTCTAACCCCCATTTGGGAAATGTGCTCCTTCTCCACATTGCACATTCTKGTTTTCTTAAAAATGCTTCTTCCCACTGCAACAAAAGCTTAGCAAAAGCYAGAAAGACTTTTTTACATAGACCAACAAAAACAACACTCCTCCAAACTGCATACAAAGTAATCCATTCACACGTTTGAGTGGTAAAGACAAACGATGGTAACACAAATAGTGTGGTCCTAAAGAACTGCTAAAAGAAAGGTTATGAAAAAATTACACACAAGTCCTTGCATTTTAATAAATCAGATSGAAGTCATTCTCCCAGCCGTATTGTATTCTATGTCTAGAATGCAAGAATGGACTATGTGCTTCTAACTATCAATGGCTGGTGCCTCAGCAAGTAGATGATGGAGAGCAACTTTCAAGCCCCTGCCTATGTGCTGGTTCTCAGCACAAACTTACCACTGTAGCATGTGCTCTTTATGCCAGAAAGACCATACAAGGCAGAGAGGGGGCTTCCTTTGACCACAAATTCAAAGCAAACCTCAGGAAAAAAATCCCTCAGAACTGCAGAGAACAGGTGTGGACATATAAGAAACTAAATAGAAGTAAAGCTCATGTTTGGTAAATAGCCTCTGAAGAAGATAGAAGACCACCCACCTTGTCTTCTTATCCTCCAAAACAAGGTCAGAGCAGAGGTTCATTTGCCCTAGCCACCCTCCTTCAGACAGCACTCAGAAAGGAAAGCAGGGTMCATCTCACCTTCCTAAATGAGCAGGGACTTTGGGCAGCCCTGACACATACAGCCTTGTGTGTGAAAAGGATATTGGTGGAAGAGAAGCAACAGGGTCCACTAGACACCTCCTGCCAAAGACTTCTTTATAACTACTTGAATCACTTCATGTTCTGGCTCAGTAAAACACAACTCTCTGTTTTGGCCATACATAACTCCCATGCACTCTAAAGGACACTGCAGACCTGTGCATCGCTTAATGTAGAGGCTCCTGTATAAAATATCCTGACAGGTCTAACATACCTTCACAGGGAAGCTTTCCTGCCCAAACCCATCCAGGCGTTCCACTTCATTGATGTACATCAGCTCAGCTTCTGCTGCTGTAATGCCACTGCAATTATAGTAACAAAAGGCAAAACGTACTTAAATATTTTAAGCACAAAGGAATTGCTTGTTAAAAATGGCAGGTCCACAAACCACTTTCGATGACACTTTAGATATCCAGACTAGATCAGGCAACACAAAGATAGCTTTCAACATTAGGATTATATTCACGAAGAGGAGGAATTTTACTATATGTTGTTAAGGGAAGGTACAAAGCCTAGCTCAAATTAYGGGAGTAACAAACTCAATTGATCATATTATTCAGTTTCTTCTTCTTTCGCAGTTCAAGAAAAACATCAAATGGCTGTAATGCAGTAATCATGAGGTCATTGCATCAGGTAAATCTAGTTATGGATRGCCAGCTTGACCCGTATGGACCCCAATTTCCATAATTAGTACACACGTCCACTGAAATTGTGAAGTGACTTGAAAGCCAAGATCTACATTTTCATGTTGGTTATTCAAAAACAAGCACTAAATCTGTATTTTTGAACAGTTTCTCTTCCATATTAAGAGAATGAGCTGCCTGAAATACAAACTTGCCTACACATGATCCTGTCACAGGCAGGAATTTGGACAAATTTCAGTTAGTAAAAGGAGGTCAGAACAGATTGTAGGTTGCTCCAAAAGAAGACTACTACTAATGGTTCCCCTTTTTGCTTCTCCTTATCATACTTTACAAACACGGAAATGCAGGAACCAGGTAATACTTGGGGGGAAAAGAGGGAGGGAAAGGCAAGGGAATTTCATCTACCTGCTGAAGTAAGGATGAATATTTGTTCTTTGTGTTGCTGAGATAGCATAAAAGAGCACAGCAGGGGATGGAAATCTTTCCTTTTAAGTCTGAGAGTTAACCAAGATCACACAAGAGGCTTGTGGCAGAGAGACAGAAGAGCAAACTCAGGCCTATTCATGGGCAGCCTGGAAGCTATCCCTTCGGTTGCATCAAAGGCCCAAGTCTGCATTAAATCTCACACTGAGAATGACCTACAACTCAGAGAGTGCACTGAAAGGTGCAGTGTTCTGCTATATAGTGAAGAACACTGCACCTTTGACATAATATTCCTATTTCATTTTACATAATATAGCTTTAAATGACGTTTCTTTACATAATTTGAAAGATTATTTTCAATGATGTAGAGGCACTGCCATTTTTCCACAGATAGCATTCTGGAGGTTTGAAYACTTATACCACCAAGTACATCCACCTGACAAGAAATAAATGTGCTTAGAAAAATGCACTCACACATACATTCCTAAGTCATTTACTAGTGACACATGTCATTTGCTAGTGGCACAAGGAGACTGAAAGCCGAAGATGACGAGATCCCAAATGCTGCTATTTTTTCTCGTATTACCTTTAAAAAAGGAACCTGTTTCTTGTATCTCTCTTGAATGAGACAAGTATTTGGACCACCTCTGATCAAGTCACAGGGCCTTTTTAATCATGAGGATTTAAATGAAGCCATAAAGAGAAAGGATTCTACCACACAATGCAAGTAGAGTTGCAAAAAGTCATTAAACCTTATGGCAGCAATGCCCATTCACTTGGGATTAAGTTCCTTGGCTGTTTTATGGTTGCAGGAGGCAGATAATCTCTTGCAACTGAGTAATTTAAAAAACAGCCAGACACAGCATAAAAATAACATGAAGATGAGTTAGTTTACCATGGCCAGAAGGTGATGAAGGGGAGGTGCAGGGGTGACAACAGTAATAAGACTCAGAATTTTTAAATTATTATAAACTTGCCAAGCTCACCTGTGATTTCGATGTTCCTGAGCAACTTTTTGAGTTAGCTCCTCTAAGACAGCCTCATCCTGGGTCCAGTCCTGCAAGAATATAAAAGTGCTTCAAAAACTACTCATAAGAGAGACAACAAAATGCCAGACAGCTATTATGATGGCACATGTTTTAGGGTTGTTTCCAGTTCATACTTTTGCAGATAGCTACATAGAGAGAATGTGGCATCAACTGCACTGAAAAGCCAGTGTACTTGCTTGACCRCAGCAAGTTGAGAACTCACAAGAAAATTACAAAGATTGGTGATTTTTTGTTTGTTTGTTGTAAAAAGATACTCCTAAAAAAGGACCTAAAGGACCTTCTGCACCTACAAAAGGTGCAGAAGGAGTGGATTTTCTTCCCAAATAGACAACAGTATATAAAGCATGCATAAGAGATTTTTTATTTTCCTGGGCAAGGGTCTAATAAGCCTTTAAAAATATTTGGAAAAATAAAAATACATACTTTTCAAACCAGACCAAAATAATGCACACAAAGTTAGCATACACAAAGATTGAACAAAATGAAGTTAAGGGTCTTTCCTATTCCGCAAACTGCAGATATTGCCTTTCCCACGTTTAAAGAAATCAAAAAATTCACTATTCCTTTAAACACGCAGCAACAACAAAAATCTTTTATGATTTCAACACACTTCTATCTTCCACAAATTTAGTAACACMCGATAGAAATAATTCTGAAATCATCAGGAGCAAATTGATAAAGGAAATATGGTCATAAATCCAGGGAAAAAGAAAAAAAAATGCTGAAAACTTACAAAACCTCAAAGTTCTTATTTCTATTTAAAAAGTAGGCTTAAGGCTGCATGTACTGTACTTAAATACACTGCGTGTTTCTTGCTCAATAGGGCCCTCCCTCCGATATCTGCTTCTGCCACAGAAAAATGCGAAAGTGGTAGCGAACTAATGAAAAATGGCATAGTACATGCCTATACACAGCTACACACCTGTGGGGTGTACTGTGTAAATAACTTTGTTCTTTTCACTGCTGAAGAAATGCCGTTTGACACACATTGCAGTCTCGCAAGATCAAACGGTACAAATAGGGCTGCCCCTCCCTCATTCACCAGCTTGCTTCACTAATGAATTTACAGCAACATCCTCAGTGGAGGTTCCTTCTATGCTTGAGATTCATTCAAAATCCTCCCGCTTGCTTTAGGACTAGCTTATATCCACAGCAATTAGCAGCTGTCACAAGACTTGCAATGAAATATTATGATGTCGTCCTACACTCCTCCCAGAGGAAGAAAGACAACAAGTGTAAAAACAAACAGAAAAGGTGCCTAGAGAATCAATTAAGGATGGGAAGCTGACACTTGGCAGATCTTGTTAAATTTGGCAGTAGTAGTGTTGATGAACAGCAGGACACTATGAAATTGTCCCGCAAGTGGGTCCAAAACAGAAGAGAGGCCACTATAATCCAGTTGACCCCCAAGATGTGTCAAAATATGTAAGTATATTGAAGGATTTTTGCAAAAACACAGCAATTTGAAAAGTGACTGCCTAACTAAGCATTTCTCGATCTCCTTTTTACAACCATCATCTTTTCCACTATGGCTATAATAATGTCACTTATTAAACTTTACAAACTATATTAATAAATAAATAAGGCCTAACACAAAAGCCCATGCCTGCACTAGTCTAGTTAAGAGAAGTTCCTTAGTGGAGTGACAATACTGCAGTGGTCTTCCAGGTGTGCAAGACACAGATTCCCGTGTATTTGTTAATTCTTCTTCCTGATAGATCTCACTTTCAAGTAGCATTGACATATTTACCAGCCCAAAACTGTATTTCAGGACCCTACACAACAATCACCTTTTGAAATTTAGAATATACTTCCAGCTTACAGAAGGCCACATATACTCTATGTTATGTTACATATGTTACTCTATGACTCTGCAAAGCCAAGGTGTATAAGAAGAGCTGTTTCTAAAGTGCTTTTTCAGACATTCAAGTCACTATGAATCATCTTCTGGAAATCCCTCTGCCTCCCTGCTACCTGTAGGGAGAAACCAGATGCCTAACATTTAGGACAGGTGGACTCAACCTCACCCCCAAATTTTGCCTCTGCTCAGAAAGTATTTCAAGTTCTTTTGTTTTATTTATTTGCTAAGTTTACACTCATGTGCTATGCTGCTGGAGTTTAGTGAAAGAAAAAGCCAGCCTTAAGCTCAGCAGTTTATTTGCAGTAGACTATTCTCCCAGAGGGACTCAATGTCATGGGTTGCAAGCGCCTGGCATCTATCACCACAGTCTAATGTAATCAGTGACCTAAAACACTTCCCTCAGCCTTCAAATTATTTGCTATTTTCTAATTTAAATTAAAAACAATAAGTTTACAGCACAGTCCCTTCAGGGCATTTTCAGAAACCCTGATTCATGCTTCATTTCAGTCCAACAGTCAATTGATTTAAGTTTGCATTCTCTTGAGCAAAGACTCGTCCTGAGATAAAACATTTACTAAATCAGCTGCCCTAATACCCACTGGTTATGCAGCATTACTAATACTGCAGTACTGCTGATGCATACCCTCTGAATAAATGCAAATTCTTAGTTGATTCAGTTAAATACATTTCACTTATTGGCATCTATTCCCAGCAGAGACTAAACAAGGATTGAAAAAAGGCTAAATCTTCAACTACAATCAAATCTACTGCATTTTTGGGGAAGCAAAGCTTATTTCAGCCATTAACATTTTAACCCTGGTGCTTTTACTTTATTATCAACAAAGTCATCTTTGATGTATGGAAGACCTACTCAKAAAAGATCACCAAAGATGGAGGAAAGTAACTCACCATTGGAAACAAGACATATTCTCGGAGGAAGTCATGAGACTCAAATTGATTATAGTCACCAAAATCCGCTGGAAAAAAAAACAACACAATTACTCATTTGAGCACTTTCCACCCATGTTAAGACCTCACTCAACCTCAGCATAGATGCATGTAGGGGAGTTTTTTTTTCTGAAGTCACAAACCAGTGCAAAGATTTCTCCTTGTACTTTAGCTTTTAACAAGGGTTTCTGAAAAGAATACTAGCAAACAAATAGCAAGTAACACGTAATTCCTCTCTTCTGTTCCTTTATATTATGGCCATTTGCAATAATTAGGAGTGCAAGAGCTTCTTTCCTGTAGCCTTCACAAACTAATATCACCATCTAACAAGCCTGTGGTTGCCCAGATGATAAATATTTGGGGGTCTCCAACATCCCCAACAACAAAGATTAATCCATCTCTATCATAATTCAATGTAATTGCATGAAAGATGCTTGATTTTACAGCCTGGGAGGCTGGAACTCACAATAAACAGCAAAATTTAAATAGACAGCTTAACTTTCTCCAACCATAACAACAGCCCAGGCACCATTTTTCTTCAATTGAATGGCCTTTCATGTCTTCCTACTTGCTTCTGCTCCTTCAGTAAGAGCTACTCATCCGCATGCTCACATTCACTCATGCAACCAGCTGAGGATACTCATCTAAACATCCTTGAAACTGTGGAGTTTTGAAAATGCTTCCCAAAGGCTAAACTACGTTAAAAACAAAATAAAGCCTATATTTATCTATCTGTTAAATACGCAACAGGTTATATCAAAAGAATATCTTGCCAGAAGGCTTTATTTTATTTTAATTGAACTGGATCAAACACCATCTACAAGATTCTCATATTATAGAAACTGGAAATCCCCRTCATAAATCATGTTAGCTAAACATTCTTTTAAAGCTTCTAGACAATTTCATATATTGCAGGATGCCAAAAATGTAGTTTCATTTTGTTTTCACCTCAGAGTTATGTTTTAACATAAACAGAAAGAAATCAAAATGAGCCTGAAACAGAGTCTACATTTAAAAGAATCAAATATTTCAAATTTCCTCGGCTGCATCACATGCGAAGGACGACGAGACAAATACAAGGTCACAAATGAAGCAAACAAGATTAGGTGCAGCATTCTGATGCAATGATCTTTGAAAGACAGCAGATTACGTAGAAAATTCATAATAAAATTGCAAGTTTAAAAACAAAATCAGTTTTGTAAGCAATTGCAAACTGCTTACAATGACAATGACTAGCTTCAAAGCTAGCAAAAATTTCCAGAATTAGATGCATATTCTTTGCCTGCCTGCTCCCCATCCAAAATAATGCCCAAGGGCATGACTGTTGAAATCTCCCTTAAGTTCTTATACTCATGGATACACTTTCTSCAAATGGAGAGTTTCCTGTTCTGCCCAGATACGTTTTGTAATGCCCCCCCCCCCTTTTTTTTTAATGTCCTAAGGAGGTTCAAAATTAAAATTAAACTGCAAGAACTAGTTTATTATTAATTTATGACTCTCATAACAACTGCCATCATGTATTCTTTCATACTTCAGATGGCTATACGGCTAGATGAGTTTTGAATAAAGGCAAAATTAAAGCTGCTGCTACAGTCTTTGATGTAATTTCATTTCAAATAGAAAACATGAAGTAAATTCAATACTAAAAAGTACTCCATGGCCAGAGTTGAAGAATGGRGCTATGTTCACATTCAGTACCAAGTCAATTTTGTTGAACACTACGATGCACTTCCTCATTCCCACCCTGGGGCACAAGTCACTCAATGACAATCAACTGCAAATTTTTAAATCAACAAGAAACTCAGCTGTTATTAACTGAACAGTAGTATGGTTCCTGTTCACAAACAGATCAACCCAAAAAATGACAAAGTTGGAAAYAGGCTAGCAGGTAACATCATCAGGTTGCCCAGAGAGGTTGTGGAGTCTCCTTCTTTGGAGATCTTTAAAACCCGCTTGGATGCAGCCCTGTGCCMCGTGCTCTAGGTGACCCTGCGTGAGCAGGGGGGTTGGACTCGATGACCTCTGAGGTCCCTTCCAACCTTCGGCATTCTATGATTCTATGATCTTACCTTGCACTGCCAAACCAGCTAGCCGAATTCCTTGCTCCAGTGACGAACGTAATCGGCCATCAAGAACATCCTTTTTCACCTGTAGGTAATACTGATATCTACAAAGGAGAGAAGAGAGAACAACAAAAAAAAAAAAGTCTATATGCTTGCATACTTTCCACAGAACAAGACATTGATGAAAGTAATAAAATTCACTACAAACAGGTCATGTGGTCAGAACAGCAGTCCACAACTGAACTTAGGACCTTCCACATTATCTGCCAGGCACATGGACGTTGCCAAAATAAGTCAAGATGACTACTTTGGGGACAATRTTTCCAGGTGTACAAAAAAGAAAATAAGAAGTTCTAGTTTGCAATCCCAAGACCACACAGAAAGAGTAACATACGCTGAGGTTACCTTCTCCAGAGGCCACTACACTTTCTCCAATACAAACTTGGCTGTTCCGTATTTCTTCTATGGCTTTTGCTCCGGGTCACCATAGGAAAAATGAAATTCTGGTAAAATACTTTGGCCAACTAATGTGACTAACTGGGGGCCACACAGAAATTCTTTATATTGGCATCTCTTCTTTGTAAGGATGACACACAAATCAAACAAAAACTACTAACAGCACCACGCATCTGCTGATCTCCGAAAGCCAATCACACAGAAAATTATGTTTGGTTTGAGCCAAAGTAAAAGAAACTGCATTTTTTCACCTTGCATTTGCAGCATAGTTAAGGACAAACGAGAAGCTGCACACAAAAGTTCTACAAATTGTGGTGTCCCCAGCCTTGCATCCCTCCCATCCACTGTACCGTACCAGGCACACAGCAGAGATGGCCAAGTTATTGGTGTGCCAATAAGCAAACACAGTTGAGTTACAATAAGCCCATGGCTTAAACTTTTGGTGCACGTGCACGTTACTYTGTGAACTGGCATAAAACACAGTTTCTTCCTCAGCTAACGTGCAAAAATTCAACAAGTCTTAGCCCAAAGATCCTGCACCTGTGTAGCCACAGCTTGTGCTTGCACTCATAGCCTCACATGTCCAACCYGCAAATCTGTCAATAGAAAACAGTGGGTCTGGGTGACCAAACTTCAGAAAAAAACAAATGTCAATGAACTAAGAAAACAGTTTTCTCAGGCTGTGACCAGCCACATMCATCTGCCTGCAGCTGAACCAGGCTCTAAGACTACCTCTTGAGCTGCTGGGCACTACGCCCCAAGAGAGGTCACCGCTGCCTCCAGTGGCACGTGATCACCCCCGTACACAAAGGGCATCCCCTTCAAGCAGTGGGGATTGAGAACAAATAACAATTGCCTGAGCTAAACTAGATCATTCTGACAGAATCAGGTTAGAAATAAGCCACTCGCATGCACGCCAGCCGCTCGGAAGGACTGCCACCTCCGCAAGGAGGACAGTGAAGAGCAGTCAGAAAAACACTGGGGGCAACAAACTCTTGGCTGGACTCAGCTGCAGCCCGCACACCACATCTGGCCTTAACCTTGAACCTTTGAGATTAGCAAACAAACAGTTCTTTTCCTGTTTTAATGATTTCAGACAGGTGTGTGTGTGTCTTGTTTTATTTTTATTTTTTTAATTGCCTTCCTGGCAATTAACCATTCCTTCTCRGAAGAGAAGCACAGCAACATCATCCACGCTACAAGGACTTCACTGCAGAACAAATACGTATTCTATACTATACAGTCTATATTCTACACTATCRTCTACATTCTACACTATACCATATATACTCACAAATGTTACCCTTTAACTCTGTGCGGAGACGGTAGAAACAACCTGTGCGCTTCAAAAGAAAAGAACAAAACCCAAAGTCATTCTTTGAGCGATATTAATCAAATATGGCATTTAACATTTCTCTTCAGTTAACTCTTCTATCAGCAATGTGAGATGCAGTCACTTGCCACTAGACAGCACCAATGCTCTGAGCAGACCTGCACTCGCAAGGTAGCAGCACTGCAGCAGGACACAGGCATTTTCAGCGCAGAGAGAGCTTCTCAGAAGAAGACTTGTGTACATGAACCTTAACATTTGAGTAGTTTCCCTTTTGAGCTGAAAATTTACATGTGTGCTAAAGAGGTAACTGCTGGGTTACTAGGTTTAGGTTCCCTCTCCCTCAAAAAATGGCAAACAGAACATTTGCAAACAGGAAAAAGAAATTCTCATCTAAAGTGTTTAGATTTAACATTCATGTCGACTAATGAAGATTAAGACATTAGTGGGAAGTGAATTTTGATTGAGGAACAAAATGTAAAAAGCAGACACCACTTCTCAGCTTTATGATTGTGCTTCAAGCCCAGGTTTAACACTTGCTTGGTCCTGGAGATAAAATCAAGTTTCCTTCCAGTCCTATAGAATGACTAAATCTCAATTCTGCAAATATTCATACTTTCACACAAGCTGCTTTGTCAAATATGCACATGAGCGTGTGCTGAATCTGGTTTTAGGGATTTCTAATCCCAAAGCAGAGTGTGTGTGTGTGTGTGTGTGTATGAATGTATATATGTGCATGAGTTATCTGTTCTAAGAGATGTAAAACTCTATTGCTAAAATGAACACTGAGTCAAGATTTTACACAAGAAGTTAAAAAAGGTAAAATCTTAGTGAAATCCTGGTGGTATTGAAATCAAGAGTGCCATCAGCTTCAGAGGAGCTGGAATTTCAACCACAGTGCCCACAAAAGCATTGAGAAGAATCYTCCCCTCCATAGGAAGGATTATCTAAATAAGCATCATCAAATACAGGACATTATCGCAGTTACTGTAATATCAAATACTATKATCAAAGCTTTCCAAAGGGATGGTGATGTTGGATACCGTTAATTTTAGTTTGCTTATACTTCAGACAATCTATTTTTAAGAAAGCACTCAGCACCTACAGTATGAGAAARAAGCCCCTTCATTTTACCCTGCATGTCAGATACAAATCAAATTTTTAAATCACAGCAGGAATATTCTACAGAATGACAGTACAGCATTGAGTCTACTAACATAGTAGCAGATTAAAAGTTTAGAATTTATTATATATTATGGATCACTGTGCAAAGAGAGTTTAAGAAATATATACACCTTGCTCTGTCATATTAATTAGTTTTCTACAGAGAACACCTGTGGAGAAAGCTGGCAGCTCTTGGGGGCAAGTGCATAGAAAACCATGAATCACCTAACATGTCTCTGACATCTTTTTTTTTTTTTTTTCCATGGAAGTGACAAAATAAATTGAAGAAGACTGGGAAAGAAAACTACTGTCAGTGACAGCTCCACCTTTATTCTGGGATTGGGAGTGTCAATGGTCACCCATCCAGCATGTTCCCTGGCATATCCTTTAATTTTGGCAGYGTAATCATGAATTACACTTTCCAGAAAGAGGAGGAGATAGGTTGTCATGGAATAACCTGGACAAGATCTACTAAMGGCTATAACAGCTCTACAAGATGCAGTTTCATGGTTGAATTGGGTTACCAAACTGTGGTCAGGCTTTCTGCGCGTTCAACAGAGAGAAAAGAAATTGGGCCATACTCCATCCAGAATTTGAGACTCCTCTATCTGAAATTATGTTAAGTGTTATTATGTCACTAGCTGAGACCACCCTTTGGTTGGTTGGATTCCAAAAATGTTTCTAKAATTTGAAGGAAATAAAATATTTTACAAACAATTCATCTATAGATTTACTGAGGAAAGCTGTTCCAGTATAGCACATATAAATACACCTTTCATAAGCTTCTGATTAGGCACTTTTGTGGGGAAAGCAAATGGAAACAGAACAATAAAGATGTCTGCAAATGGTAGTCCAAAATAAGAAATACAAAATAAAGACTTAAAAGATTATTCACAGGGCCTATATGCCTRCTAGGGGAGTGCAGGGCAGAAGACAGACCACTCCCCAGTGTTGTTTCTCTTGTGCTCATTTTGGATTAAAATTTTTTAGCAGTGTCGTTGTGTGTTCAATATAATAAGGGCTACTCCAGTTTGCCAGCCTGTAGCTAATTCTAGGGGGAATGGGAGCGGACGAATCTSAACAATGCCATAATTAAAAGGATATTATTTCCCATAACTCTATTTAGCCAATGCAGAAAACATTAAGAGTATATTTGGATGCATTACTTCAAAAAGCACACTTTATATAGTGAAGCTACTTCAACTGGACAGTTGTGAGACAGTATTTGAATGCTGGTATCCACATCTACATTTTAACAATCAATATTACAMCAGAGGAAAAAAAAATCTACATGGTACTAGGAAACATGAGACAAGAGTACTTGCTTAAAATTTAATTACATGACTCAGGTATAGCTGTGTAAATCTAGAGCAAATCCATTTGCCCATACACTTCTGCATAGACTTTACAACATGAAGTTTTGTTTGTATAGATGTCATTAAATTCACTRCACTCTTCAATCATCACTTTTTATCTGATGTATAGTCTCTACTGYTGTTTTTAAATGTACAGAACATAATTCAGTTCACTTTACTGGTTTCGCTTCTCTKGGGCATCAAATTTTTCAAATATAACAACCTACACAGAAGCTAGCCTGAATAATGTTGGAAGTGATATTTTGTGGAAAAAAAATTAAAGAGTACCTACACAAAAGCAAGGATATGAGTTAGTTTTGCATTGGTGCACTCCATCTTCATACTTTGCCTACTACAYACATAGGGTGCCACAAGGTAAAGACTTCATTAATAATTATTCATAATATTATCATACCCAGCAACCCTAAAAAATGAAGCAGCATCCAACTCTGCCAAGAAATGTACAAGAACAGAACAATAAACAAACTTATTTCTCCAGGGATTTAAAATCCAAATGTATATAAATATATAAATGTACATAGAGTTGTATATGTAAGTGTAGACAGGATTAAAAAAAGAATATTGTTTGTATGTTGTACTGRTTTTAGTTATTCTTCCCTGTTTTTACTTTTCTATGCATCATATAGAGGAAGAGTTAAGAAACTACACATGGCTTTTGGAGCAGCAGGAAAGACCTTTTTCTCCAATCTATCASTGTGATTTTCTGGGCAGTTCCAAACTAGCATGAATAAATGCCTTACAGATTCAATACAAATAAACCTATTTACATTAAGTGTAT